GCAATGGAACGTCTGCTCCATCGTCGTCGATTGGGGCATCGGTTTCGCCTTCTCCTGGCGTTGTGCGTTCACTGCCATTCAGCAGGCTGGAGAGGTGTTCCCTCCATAATTTAAGTATGCTCTGGGCATCGGTGACTAGATCACCTTGGGGGGTTCTACAAGAGTATGCTCCGGTCTTGAAACCTTCTGTAAGCCGCCGCATTTTTTCGTAGAGTTTTCGAGCATTACTCCTATCGGCCAGCTTATCAAGCTCTTCGTACTCACGCATTTCGGCCTCTTTCTTTTTCTGTCTGCAAATGCGTCTCGCGCCCCTCTTCAACTCTCGATATCTATCCCATCCCGCACGTGTTGTGCTCGATCGTAACGTTGCGAGGTAGGCAGCATATTTTCTCTCCACTGCGGCACTCCTCGTCGTACCAGCTGTTCTTTTGTATTTTCCGAAAACCAATGGTTTCGGTTGTAGCTGTACGTAAGGAGTTTGAAATGCCGTCCCACAGTTCCCTTATACCGAGTTGCTGACGAATGCTCTCAGAGAGCAGGAGTGCAAGCCGAGTTCGACGTCGAACCTTCCTTGTGTTTGATGGCGTGCGTTTTTTGATGCGCAGAGGCGCATGCGAACCTTGGCTACAACAAGATAGTGGTCCGAGTCGATGTTAGGACCTCGGAGCGCACGCACATCTAAAACACTGGAGACGTGTCTTCCGTCTATCACAACATGATCGATCTGGTTGATGGTTTTTCGATCCGGAGACAGCTAGGTAGCTTGATGTATCTTCTTATGCTTGAATCTAGTACTACAGGTAACCATATTTCGGGCTCCGGCGAAGTCGATCAGCCTCAGCCTATTTGGGGATGTTTCCTCGTGGAGGCTGAATTTTCCGACCGTGGTGCCAAAGATACCTTCTTTGCCCACCCTGGCGTTAAAGTCGCCAAGCACGATTTTGACATCGTGGCGGGGGCAGCTCTCATAAGTGCGCTCCAAGCACTCATAAAAGGCATCTTTGGTCACATCGTCCTTCTCTTCCGTCGGGGCGTGGGCGCAAATCAGCGATGTGTCGAAGAACCTCGCTTTGATACAGATTGTGGCTAGACGTTCATTCATCGGGGTAAATGATAGTACTCGGCGACGGAGTCTCTCTCCCACCACGAATTCCACACCAAACTTGCGCTCCTTTATATGGCCACTTTAGTAAATGCCACAAGGACCTACTCGTCTCTGTCCTTGTTCCGTCCATCGCATTTCTTGGACGACGGAGATGTCAGCCTTTATTTTTACGAGGACATCAACCAGATGGGCAGCGGCACCTTCCCAATTAAGGGACCGGACATTCCAGGTGCATATCCTCAATTCGTAGTCCTTATATCGTTTCCCATGGTCGTCATCAAAAGTGGATTCTCTTATCCGAGGCTGTTGTTGCGTTTTCATTGGGGTGGTTTTTTTACGTGGCGGGCCCAAAACAAAGCGCACAACCCTATGCAGGGAATGTTTCGCCTTCTCACTTTAGCTCGCCTTCAAACGGATATTCTTACGCTACCCAGAGGATACTTGGTCAAGGACCGGAAGTCGTGAGCTGGTTGAGTCATATGTAAAAGAATCATTTCTGGCCACTCCCAAGTGAATCAGAAAACTTTCCTCACTTGCGTGAACTTCTACACATGACTCCATCCACCGATATTTCAAATTAAAACGAGTATAAACAATCTTTCCATGCATAGGGATTTTTCTTATTTAAATTTAATAAGCAACTAGGTAATATTGTATAATAATATTACGTAATAAAGTACTTAGGTTACCCCTTGTATTGGCGCGATCAGGATTATTTTTTTAAAGGAATTCTACGCGAAAGTACTTCAGTCAACCCCGGATATTTTTTTAAAGCGCGGTCCAAGGCCAAGGAATACTACGCAAAAGTACTTCAGTCACACCGATTTGATATACATTTTATAATATTATCATAGAGTTTTACTTATTTGTGTTTATTAAATATAAATCACATATTATACTCGTACACATCATATGTACATGGAAAGTGTAAACAACTCAATTATGGCTTGAAAAATTTAAGAAAGTATTCTTATTATAGTTAATATAGAATAAGAATCGAGCGAAAATACAAACAAAGAAAAATCGTTGAAAATCTTATATATAATATTTGGCTGCTAATTTTTATATAAATACAAATAAGTAAGTTTTATTAAAATGGTTTCTAGTTATTTGCAATAATGGTCTGGTACTTGAGAAGGTGCAACTTCTTACGAAAATATTTTTAAGCCATTATGTCAAATACTCTTATTAATGTGTTTACATTTTAACCATTCGGTTTGATTTAGAATATATTATTTTGCAATTATAGCTTAAGAAACAAATTTTTATAAATATTATAAGTATAAACAAAGTACAACAGCTGATGTAGACCTTCTAAACAAGAATAGGTTTGACAAATTGTTGTTTGGGGACTATCTACAAATTATAAATTTAATCATGGCTACATAAGATATAAGAACTTCCAATTCTCCTGTCACCTTAAACTTAGAGCCCTATGACTAATTATCATATAACTTTTGCTTTGACCACTCTTTTAAAAAGTGCTTTCAGACGAGGACTGTTTTTGTCACTCATTAACGGCAAGATCTCTTTTGGTCTCTATTATTGCATTTCTGAATTTTCTAATTTATGCACACTTCATGTATACGGTACATAAAATTTTTTTTGATTAGTTAATTTTTATCATAATTCGCCTTTTTAAAAAACAGTTTTATTATGTTATGGAATTT